CTCCAATGCTTCCCACAGTTGTGTCAAGTCGGCTGGATGTCCTTTGGGTGGCGACCAGTCTTGATACACACGGGAAACTGTTGAGCATGAAAAACCCAGCAGCGTTGCAGTTGTTGACACGAACCGGTGCGCATGGCACCTACTTCCATACCCCATTCAAAAGCACTTAAATATTTTGTCTTGCCCATTCACCCTCTGAATGGCACACATACACAATCCGTCTTAATTGTCTCAAGGCTTAAAAATCCTTCTTTAACCTGTCTCCTCCCCTTCATCTACACTAATTGAAATGGATTTAACAAGTGGCATCAATAGGGGATCATAGCTTTCACCTGGATTCATCTGGTCAGTCTATGTCATGGAAAGAGCAGGTGTCCTTAATGTTTTGTGTACTCAGTGTCAGTGGTGTAAAGTGCTTAAGTAAAAATACTTTACAGTACTACTTAAGTCGTTTTTTGGGGTATCTGTAGTTGACTTTACTATTTATATTTTTGACAACTTTTACTTTTACTTCACTACATTCCTAAAGAAAATAACATACTTTTTACTCCATACATTTTCCCCAAAAGTACTTGCTACATTTTGAATGCTTGGCAGGACAGGAAAATTGTCAAATTCACGCACTTATCAAGAGAACATCCCCAGTCATCCCTACTTTGGTCTGGTGGACTCACTAAACACAAAGCTTAGTTTGTAAATTATGTCTGAGTGTTGGAGTGTGCCCCTGGCTACTTAATATAAGGATTGTTAAGTGATTTATACTTTTACTTTTGATACTTAAGTATAGTTTAGCAATTACATTTACTTTTGATACATACTTAAGTATATTTAAAACCAAATATTTTTAGACTTTTACTCAAGTAGTATTTTACTGGGTGACTTTCAATTTTACTTGAGTCCTTTTCTATTAAGGTATCTTTACTTTTACTTAAGTATGAAAATTGGGTACTTTTTCCACCACTGCTCAGTGTATATTGGGATGCAAACTCAAAATGGAATACGTTTCAATTACAGGTGTCTTATTTTTTTAAAAGCCTATAACAATGTGTGTGAGGTGTACAGTATACTTTGGTTTCAAAGTAGATTTGTTTAAGATTATAAACACTCTGTGTGACCCTGTATTAGTCCACTGCAGTAAAAGGTTAACAGAGCTTGAGAAAATCTCAAAGTCCAGATGTGCAAAGCTGATACAGACATACCCAAGATGACTCAAAGCTGTAGTCGCTGCCAAAGGTGCTTCTACAAAGTATTGACTCAGGGGTGTGAATACTTATGTAAATGATACATTTCTGTATTTCATTTTCAATACATTTGCAAAAATTTCTAAAAACATGTTTTCACTTAGTCATCAAGGGGTATTGTGTGTAGATGGGTGAGAGAGAGAAGAAAAACGATTTAATCAATTTTAACTCAGACTGTAACTCAACAAAATATGAAATAAATCAAGGGGTATTAATACGTTCTGAAAGTCCTGTATATTACATTACTATGTATATACAGTTGAAGTCGGAAGTTTACATACACCTTAGCCAAATACATTTAAACTCAGTTTTTCACAATTCCTGACATTTAATCCTAGTAAATATTCCCTGCCTTACGTCAGTTAGGATCACCACTTTATTTTAAGAATGTGAAATGTCTGAATAATAGTAGAGAGAATTATTTATTTCAGCTTTTATTTCTTTAATCACATTCCCAGTGGGTCAAAAGTTTACATACACTCAATTAGTATTTGGTAGCATTGCCTTTAAATTGTTTAACTTGGGTCAAACGTTTCGGGTAGCCTTCCACAAGATTCCCAAAATAAATTGGGTGAATGTTGGCCCATTCCTCCTGACAGTGCTGGTGTAACTGAGTCAGGTTTGTAGGCCTCCTTGCTCGCACACGTTTTTTCAGTTCTGCCCACATATTTTCTATAGGATTGAGGTCAGGGCTTTGTGATGGCCACTCCAATACCATGACTTTGTTGTCCTTAAGCCATTTTGCCACAACTTTGAAAGTATGCTTGGGGTCATTGTCCATTTGGAAGTACCATTTGCGACCAAGCTTTAACTTTCTGACTGATGTCTTGAGATGTTGCTTCAATATATCCACATAATTTTCCTTCCTCATGATGCCATCTATTTTGTGAAGTGCACTGCTCCCTCCTGCAGCAAAGCACCCCCACAACATGATGCTGCCAACCCCGTGCTTCACGGTTGGGATGGTGTTCTTCGGCTTGCAAGCAACCCCATTTTTCCTCCAAACATAACGATGGTCATTATGGCCAAACAGTTCTATTTTTGTTTCATCAGACCAGAGGACATTTCTCCAAAAAGTATGATGTTTGTCCCCATGTGCAGTTGCAAACCGTAGTCTGGCTTTTTTTATGGCGGTTTTGGAGCACTGGTTTCTTCCTTGCTGAGCGGTCTTTCAGGTTATGTCGATATAGGACTCGTTTTACTGTGGATATAGATACTTTTGTACCTGTTTCCGCCAGCTTCTTCACAAGGTCCTTTGCTGTTGTTCTGAGATTGATTTGCACTTTTCGCACCAAAGTACGTTAATCTCTAGGAGACAGAACACATCTCCTTCCTGAGCAGTATGACGGCTGCGTGGTCCCATGGTGTTTATACTTGCGTACTATTGTTTTTTACAGATGAGCGTGGTACCTTCAGGCGTTTGGAAATTGCTCCCAAGGATGAACCAGACTTGTGGAGGTCTACAAAGAGGCACTGGGGTTGAAGGTAGGCCTTGAAATACATCCACAGGTACACCTCCAATTGACTCAAATTATGTCAATTAGCCTATCAGAAGCTTCTAAAGCCATGACATCATTTTCTGGAATTTTCCAAGCTGTTTAAAGGCACAGTCAACTTAGTGTATGTAAAGTTCTGACCCACTGGAATTGTGATGCAGTGAATTATAAGTGAAATAATCTGTCTGTAAACAATTGTTGGAAAAATTACTTGTAGTAGATGTCCTAACCGACTTGCCAAATCTATAGTTTGTTAACAGGAAATTGAAAAACGGTTGAAAAACGAGTTTGAATGATTCCAACCTGAGTGTATGTAAACTTCCGACTTCAACTTGATATATCTTTACTATCCATGAGCAAATGCCAGGGTATCCGTAGTGACAAAAACAAACACAAATACATTTTAAAAGATTAACTTTGATAAAGTAGAAAAACAGAAAATCTGTTTTTACAATCTCAGAGATTGATGATATATACTAGTTATTTGTTTTAAAGATGAAATACTTTTGTGCAGTAATAAACAGAAACAATCATACACCGTGATTGTGGAAATATCAAAGAAGGATAAAATGAGATGTATTGGTAAGAGAATGAAAGTAATTTAAAAGCATAAAGACATATCTGTAAGATTTGCCAAGCCTTTTTGTAGGGTAAAAAGGGAAAAAACAAGGTTTGTCTTTGTGTCAAGACCTACTATCCTCAGCCTTTCATTATCTGTTAAGCAGACTCACTTTTTCATTTCCTTGCCATTATCAAGGCACGGTCTGGCACCCGAGTACTCAAGAGGCGAGACAACACAGTTTGTGCATTTCCTTTTCCTTTGTTTATTTATGATTTACAAGGCCGCTCAGTAAATCCCAAATGAATTGGGTACCATTCCAACTCAGATTGTTGAGGCAAATGGTAAACAAACACTTGCCAGTACTGTGTTGTTGTGTGTTTAAAAAAAAGAAGCAGCAGCATCAAGTCAAACCCAGAGCACGTATTTGGATGTTTTGAACACCCAGCGCTTCATGGAAATCTCTCTCCTAACCACGCTTTCCTGATTAATAGTCCCTTCCTCAAGCCTCCTTCAGTTTCATATAATTGCCCGGGTTTCAAGCGTGCATCTATAATTTCATACATTTTCGTCTCTCTCCCATTAATTGCCATGGAGCAGAGTGACCGCGGCGTGGATAAGGTTGCAGGCCATGGTTTAATTACCGTAGAGCTATTTCTATTGATGTGTTCACGGCTGCCCTCACAGGTCATGAAATTACAGAAGCCATGGCACAGAAGTGCACACTTGCAAAAAATGTAGTCATGAAGTTTGATTGGACACAGAGAAAAGTAGATTAACACTCGTAAAGGTTAATCTTCCAATCCTTTAATGAAGCATAGTTTTGGTCATTACACAAAGACACGGCACTGCGATGGAAGTTAAAATACAGGCTAATTAAGATATTTATAGAACGGTGAACAAAACTGAGCATAAACCTTGGCCTTACAACCGTCTGGTCGCACTAGCCTCCCTAAAACAAGGGATTAGGGGTAATATTGCATGGTAGTGAAATATACAAAACATTCTCTCAGCGTACTTCTCTTTCTGGAAGGCTCATTGAGAGACAGCCAATATAGGGCACACAGACAGCTGTCACCTGTTTTGTTTTCATGCGAACCATCTCATTCCATCTTTTTACACATTTCCCATATTTCATGTATTTTACTAACAGCCCTGTAGGGCTCATTCATCTGTTGTGTTCCACACACTCCAACAGCCTTTCAATCTGCCGGTAAGCATTCCTAACAGAAGATTCAGGTAGGGCCTATAGCTGCGATTTGACATCAGAGAAGTACGATTCCCATCAGAGTGAATACAAGGAGAAGCACCAACTCCTTTGTTTGTCTCCTCCCTGTAAGTGTTTCAGGTTTCCTCAACTTTGCCATGACATCTATTTAGCCTGTACTAATCCCACCCATCGGTCCCACAACAGAGCGGGGTAATGAGGGACAGAGAGGACGCCACACGCCACACAGGAAGCAGCTTGTTAGCAGGGCCCTCAGCCAGGATGATAGTGCTACAGTACCAGGCTCCATTGCATGGTCTAATTGACTGATCCAGTCTGTAATCCTGTCTCTATTAGCTGACTTGTCAGCGACACTCAAGCATAGGCTGTGGTGGACAGAATAACCTCATCAACAAATAAAGATTGGACCTTTTAAACCTGTTTAGTTTGTCTTCCAAACACATTTTGGGATGGGAGCCCCACCTAAAGCCTTACCTGTCATGGATGCCACATGTGTCAAACTGCAGCTCCTTGTAGGTTCCCAGCCGTCCTTGGTGCACCCGGATCAGGTCCATGGGCTGGCTGTTGATGGAGATGAGACGCATGCACCCCTGAAACGCCAACGTGGGGTTCTCACAGCCTAAGATGTTCAGAGATGGACAACCTGTGACACGGATTGAAAAAGTGTTGCTAAATCATTGTATTTTCATCATTCAGCATTTTCTGTATACATCTTCAAATAATGTCTTCAGACGCTGCAACAAGACATGGTTTCATGAGATAGTGATGCAGACAACAAGACTCATTCTGTGTGGTCTTACCTCCGAAGTAGAGGCTGTCGCCTGCCTCCATGTTGTCCCCCAGCTCGATGGTTGAGGATGGCTCGTTGTCCAGGGTCATGGTGACTTGGAGACCTTGGGAGCTGAGACTCACAGAGTGCCACAGTCCATCATTCACTCTGTGACCTGTGGAGACAGCAGTGTGTATGTTCTATGTGAGACACTTCAATGAGAGACTATCAATCTCTATTACAGGCTCATCAAACATCAACTACATGTTCATTCAGGGACTGTTGGGATTGGGATCTCCCACATACTGTAGGTACTAGGCTACATTTTACATTGTAAATCAGAGCCTATCATTCACTGTGTAATCTATGGTCACGTGGTTTGTCATAATAACTGTGCTACACTACTAAACAAGAATGGAAGATGACATGGAAATGAAAATAAAATAAAGTGTGGCTGGTCAGATTGAATCTAAATCATTGCCAGAGGACAGAACGTAATGCTGGTTAATATTGGATGAAACATTCATTTGACCGTAGGTTCCAGCTTCAAACAGACGTAACAGCAGATTGTGGTATATTCATTTTGATTGTCCTTTATAGTGAAGGGCTTCCAAGCTGTGACGGTCTTTCTGTGTGTCTATAATTCCCTCTGTGCCTGCCATCTGCTGAAAGTCTGGGCTCTGCAATCCAACGTAATTATACATGTTATTTCTCTCTGACTGCAATCCTGTAAAGCTCACGTCCAAAATACAAGGATGCAATTTTTCCTCAAGCCATTCCAAGAAGATTAAGTGTGCTTTGAGTTTACCGGGGGCAAAAGGTCATATGAATGATGTTGATGTAATGATGTGCAAAACCAAACACAGACAGTCTCCCCCTGGATGATGGATTAGCTTTTCACTGTCTGTCTGCTTTGCTGGAATGAAGAACGTTTTATATTCTCTGCCCCCCTTGGTGCAAACACTGATTCCAGCCCATAGTGTGGGTCAGCTAGGCTAAAGGATGTTGGCCTGGCCCTCACCGGTGGAGACCTCTTCTTTCTGCTGGGCTGACTTGTGATGGGTCAAGCGCAGCCGGCTGTTGCTTATCTGCAGCTCCAGTCTCTGGGGCTCCAGGGCCAGCTGTGTGAAGAGCAGTAGCCCGTCTGGGTTCCATGTTCTGAACTGGAAACGCACAGCGAAGCCCCCCGAAGCAGACGGCGTGGCCGGGAGCGACAGGAAGCTGCTGCTGGAGCTCAGGAATGTGGTGGACACCAGCTGGGGGTGCGAGCACGAGAAGGTCACGTTGCCCTGGAAACACACATGGAACACACAGATAATGGAATTATTCACTCATACCATCAACATGATGAATTCATAATTAATCTCATGTTGGATTTACCGTACTTTTACTGTACAATTCATCTGAGCAGAATGAAATACAGTGAGCTGATAAAGCAATTTACTGAATATGGTATTTAGATAATTAACTTGCCTGTAAGAACCACACATTTCCTTGAGAATGCCATATAAAGCTGAATGACTATCTGGAATTCAAAAGGTACAAACTATGAAATTCTGAGTTTCTCCCCTCCAATCCAGGTCAGTCGTCAGGTGGGCAGAGAAAGAACACACTAGTGATCCAGAGGTCTTGTGAGGTCCATGGACCAAAAGAGCATCCATGTCAATTGAGGTCAGCGGCCCATCAATCCCAGTGCCTCAGAGGCAGAGAAGAGCAATCGGCAGCACTTTGACTCTTAATGTGATCCCTCGCCAGATAGTATTCCACATTGAAATTCCATTACGGATTCCATCATCGCAGTCACTCTCTCACTTGTAAGTAAAGGCCTTTTAACATAGCAATCAGATTTTCGAGGGGAATAGGGTGTCTGTGATGCAATGTGGCACTTTGGCTTCTGTCTGATTTGATTGGGGGGGGGGGGGGGGGAGAAGGGTGTACAAATTATAGGGTGTGCCTACGGCTGAATCTATTCATGGATTTAGACTTAATGACACAGTAGTGAGGATCAGATATAACTTTGTTCTCTATGGACAGTGTCTCTGCCCTGGATCTCTTACAGTTTGAGGGACCATGGATAAGGCTATGTGACTAACTCAAATACAAATGTGATTAAACAGAATCACATTGTAGCAAAATGTGAAGTCTCACAGCAACAGTGCAATTAAAACAGACTATCTCTGAGCTCTAATAGGCATTGGTTGATTAACTACTTTGTCCACATACTATTTTAAGGATGTACTAATAATCTATGGTATGGTTGGATGAGAATAGTTGTCTTACCACACTGTAGATCTGAGGCTTGCGTCGCTTGGCTAGGTCGATGATGTTGATCCCGTTGTAGTAGAGGTTCTCGATGCAACCATGGAAGTTCTTCCTCAGGAAGGTACCAGGCTTACCTGGCAGTGGGATGCCCCCGAAGCTGAGCTTTGATGATGAAAGAGGGTGAAATGACAACATCCTTATTAGAAATGTACACAGAAACAAGAATGCATTTTATTGCCACATTCAGGTTTTTCTTCTGCTCATCTTAGAGTAAGATAACTTGGTTGAACTATTCTTGATATCTTGGTTGAACTATTTACTGAATAAGTATCTGACTATTCTACAATATGTGTTTGGATAGACACACCTCATAGTCCACCTCCAGAGAGTCTCCTTCCCCCTTTGTCCTAAAATGCTGTTTGTGGGTGTCCACAGTGAGGTTGACCTGCTTGTTGAAGCGTTCTATGAGAACAGAGTGCCAGTGCTGGTCATCCAGAAGACTCCCTAGAGTGACCGCAACACGACCACTGCTGAACCGCAGCCGGGTGTCATCTGAAGACAGAAAACAGAGAACAGATGATATAGTTACTTTAATATTGATATAGAAATTGATCATAAAACAGTACGGTTTATTGAGGAATGAGGGAGCTCTCATAGAATGTGCTCACAAGACGTTCCGAAAACAAACTACTTGACAATGGCCTTGCCAAGACTCAGCTGTTCACAATGTGGATCCTTAACAGTCTGAGTCCAGCTAGTAAATGGAGCTCAGGTGCAGTGGTAATTGGAAGGGCAGCAGAACACAAACATTCAGTTACCCTCCCAGACTGCTCCCCAGACTCCTTTTAAATGATTCAAAAGACTCCCTCATCCGTACCCAGAGTCCCTTGTGTCCTGTTACCCATGACCTTACCCTTGTGTCCTATTACCCATGACCTCTGCCCCCTGACCTCTCTGGTTGAGGTAGGGGGCCAGCCTGCCAGGTCTGTGCACAGACAGACAGGGAAATTAGCTTGTTTGATGTACAATTCATTACATTTAGATGTACAACACAAAATAGAAAATAGACTTTAAATAAGTAAAAATATATATTTTTAAATGCCACCAATTAAAAAGGGCAAAGGGCAGGTGCTCCAGCACCACTAGAGCCCTATCTGTGCACGTGCCTGCAGCCTGCCCAAGTGTTACAAACTCACCCAGGTTGAGGTAGAGGGCCAGCCTACCCAGGTGTGACAAACTCACCCAGGTTGAGGTAGAGGGCCAGCCTGCCCCGGTGCAGCTCCAGAGTGATGTAGTCGCCCCTCTGACCCTCTCCGTGGAGCAGCACCCCCTCAGCCTGGCGGCTCTTGAAGCGCAGCGAGATCACATCCTTCACCGTGCTCATGGACTTCTGGTTAAACCGGTAGAGCAGGGAGCTTCTGCCGTCAAAGTCCGCCACATCTGACTCTGAAGGCAATCAACAGGCAGTGAAATGGGTTGTCATTGGGTTACTTGTCCCCTGTCACTATGAGTCTATTTATGCACTGACTGTTATTGCTCTCAGGGCTTCATACCTGTTCCGGTAATGTGGCTATATCAGTGATGGTATTGAAATGTATTATGCTGGAAGCCATTTCCATGTGTAACTGGATAGCAACAATCTCTGACATACACCTGTTATTTTAATACTTGCAGTACATGCTCTAGTGCTCACCCCTTTCGGTCATACTACAAAATAGATTCTTGTAAGTCCTCAAGAATTCAAGTTATGAGTTTGTCATAGGGGGCATTTTCAGCTTTTCCTATGTAATTTAGTCATTGGAAGACGTAGAGGACTCATGCATAGATACATGAATATGTAACTCCAGTAATGTAATGACATTGCATAGCAAGTCTCTCTCTTTTCATCTCTCTCTCTTCTCTTTCTCTCTCATCTCTCTGTGTTGTGAATTGATCAACCTGTTTTATAGTTTGAATTGAGATATGTATGGTCTCTTCTTTTAATCTTTTAACATTGAGATGCATTTAGGTGCTTGTCATGCAGCATTTATTAGCAGAGTACACATTCATCCAACATTAATACAGGGATCATGCTGTGGAACAGTTCGGCATTATGAAAGTGCTCACTCAGCGATAATTATAACTGTCTTTCACAGAGCAGTAATTCACTGGCTGATCCAGTTAATGCTGCTTCAGAATGTGTGTGAGAGGCGTCCCAGTGACTCCCCTTTATTTATACTGAACAAAAATATAAACCCAACATGCAACGATTTCAAAGATTTTACTGAGTTACAGTTCATATAAGGAAATCAATCAATTGAAATAAATAAATTAGGCCCTAATCTATGGATTTCACATGACTGGGCAGGGGTGCAGCCATGGGTGGGCCTTGGAGGGCATATGCCCACCCACTTGGCAGCCAGGCCCACCCACTGGGGAGCCAGGCCCAGCCAATCAGAGTTTTTCCCCACAAAAGCGCTTTATTACAGACATAAATACTGCTCAGCACCCCCACACCCCTCAGACGATCCCACAGGTGAAGAAGCCGGATGTGGAGGTCCTGGGCTGGCGTGGTTACGTGTGGTCTGCGGTTGTGAGGAAGATTGGACGTACTGCCAAATTCTGTAAAACGATGTTGGAGGTGGCTTATGGTAGAAAATTAACATTCAATTCTCTGGCAACAGCTCTGGTGGACATTCCTACACTCAGCAGGCCAATTGCACATTCCCTCAAAACTTGAGACATCTGTGGCATTGTGTTGTGTGACAAAACTGCACATTTTAGAGTGGCCTTTTATTGTCCCCAGCATAAGGTGCACTTGTGTAATGATCATGCTGTTCAATCAGCTTCTTGATATGCCACACCTGTCAGGTGGATGGATTATCTTGGCAAAGGAGAAATGCTCACTAACAGGAATATAAACAAATTTGTGCACAGCATTTTAGAGAAATAAGCTTTTTGTGTGTATGAAAAATGTCTGGGATCTTTTATTTGAAAACATGGGACTGACACTTTACATGTTGCGTTTATAGTTTTGTTCAGTGTATTTAGCATTACCCAGGCATAGACTGGCTCTCAAATGGCATGCCTGCCTGGCAGTCACTGTCTGCCTCTATTAGCTGTTGAGATATTTTGGTCAGCATTGTTCTTTAATAATTAGTGATAAATGAGAGAATAGCATCAATATCAAAATCCTCGCTATCTCTATTTCTGCAGTTGTCCTCAAACGTCCTGCTTTCATTAAAGGGTATACACAAAAGTAGGGTATTCTGGATGTAAGGGGTGTTCTGGTCACTCACTGTGGCATTATGATATTAGCTGAATGTGTATGGTCTGTGTGTAAGGCCTGGTGGCCACTTTATTGTAGGCACACCCTAATGTGTATGGTCTGTATGTAAGAGGTAGGGGTGGTCTGGTCACTCACTGTAGGCACAGCCGTACACCTCCACTCTGAGTCCCACCCAGCCACTGGGGTTCCAGTCCAGCGGGACGAAGCGCAGGAAGCGGCTTCTGATAGAGTGGGACAACTTGTGGTGGATGACACTGTCAGCATTCACGTTCCCCACAAACCTCTGGAGACACAGCAGAGAGAGAGGAGGGGCGAACAGGCAGAAGAGTTAGATGCAATGCCAAGCGTTAATATCCGGGGGGGGGGGAATCTTGAGGGAACTGCATTCATTAAACAAAACTAAAAATTACAGCTCCGTTATCAAGGGAGTCACTGTTAACCAAGTATGGCTGTCTGAGCTGACCTTGAATCTTTTAGAGGAAAAATACTTTTCAACAAAGAATTTAAAAGGGTTTTGTGTCTTCTAGGACTGTTTTGGATCATAACATTAAAGGGGGTAGTTTCCAAGAACTGTAAAAGGTATTAGTATTCCGCGACAAAGCAAAACTAATGCCATATATTTCTCTTCACCTGACCCTACTTTTAGATAAAACATATAAAATGTGTTGCCTGGGTTGGAAATGTGAGGATTTCCACCACTGCACTACCACACACTTCTGTGGCAAGTAGCTGGAAAAAACAATTGGTATCACATTGTCTGCTCCAAGGCAGATAACAATGAATATCTCTCACTGAAACTGTGAGATGTTATTATTCTTCGTCATTTCCATCCCCCTATCCTCCTACCCTCCACTGCATTAATAATCTGCACCATGGAGGCTTAGGGGGTGAACCGAGATAGAGAGCGAGAAAGAGCGAGAGAGATAGAGAGAGAATGAGAGAGCGAGAGAGAGGAAACTCAGATGACTGATGACCAGCAGCCGTCATAACGGATTTGAGGCAGGTGACGAGCTAAATCGATAATGATGTGTATCACAGAGTAAAGGAAAGATGGATTCTTGACACCGGAGCTCCAGGCTCAACAGAGTCAAGAAATGCCATTAATTCACTTCTCCCTGCAGCTGAAAACACAATAGCAGATGGGGGAGGTAGTAGAAGAGGCACAAATTACACACACAGGGAATTCAGGTATGGTGTTACCTCTTTGAGGGATAGACTGTACAGAGATTGGTCTCTGTAGATAATGAAGATAATAAAGAAGAGGCAGTCCTACAAGGTAACTATTTAGGCTGTTATTTTGATTTATTCCCATGCTTTTCTATTGTGAGTCCATTTAAGTGGAGCCTGGTGACTGTATTTTAGAAGAGGTGCAAGCTAAGCACTTACAAATGCATTATAACTCATGTCTATGCAAGATAAGCATTTGCAAACTCACTGGGGTTTACTCATCCACCCACTTATTTCGCAAATACAATTTGAAAAACGTTGCTTCACTAAAATGTGGCATACATATTCATTACTATATGTACCACCAGTAGCAGTGTGTGGGTAAAATCACTGGGGAAGCCAAACCAAGCCAGGAAAATATCCATATTACAACCTATGTTGTGATAATTGCATTGTTTGATCTATAACCAATTTGTTCATACACCACCATCATATACACTAAGGCAGACACAACAAAAAGACAACAGTCACACAGTGGTGGAATAAATTCTACCATGTATACGTTTGTTACATCACAAAGTCGGAGAGCAACATCTCTCCATGTGAAATCCACGAAGCAAATATTTAATGTAACAAACAGTTACATGACGTACAGCATGGTCAAGCAAGTTAATGTTTCTGACAGTTTACTAAACAACTACTGATTTAGACCAATGGAGCGTTAACGCAAGTCAGCACAAAGAAAACAGGAGCACTGCCTCTGCTATTCCAGCACCATTTCAACTTAAACTTTTAAACAAAATTAAATCAACTAGGCTATATATGCTTAGTCTAATACAGTGAAAACAAATGTAAAGACACCAAAAACGATTTAGTCCAATCAATGTTGCAAAATAACATGTGGCTGTCCATGGTACTGATTTCTGTGTGTGTATGCGTGTGTGCATGGGCCAGTAGAAAGAACATGTTGACTCACCCTACTTGTAGACTAGTTGAGCACCAATGCCATCTTCCACTCTTTCATGTTGGCAAAATGTTCTATGACTCTGTACACAATTTTAGTTTTTGTTGTCATAGGCTACCTGGCTAAAATGCTTGCTAGCCTAACTTCCTCTCATGAGCAACAATGAACAAGCTAAGTTAGCTTGCTAGTTAACGTGAGCCTACTAGGCAACATCTAGGCTAAGAGCGTTGGGCCAATAACCGAAAGGTCACTGGTTTGAATCCCTGAGCCGACTATGTGAAAAATTCTGTCTGTGCCCTTGAGCAAGGCACTTAACCCTAATTGCTCATGTAAGTCGTTCTGTATAAGAGTGTCTGCTAAATGACTCAAATGTAAATATTGACTTCCCCTTGGGCTTTGAACGGGGCACCTGGCTCACTTCCGAGAGGCAGCCCGATTCTAAAATGAATGCAATCAACTTTCACCCGGTGAAAAACACACCTACCCAGATGTATAGTATTTGCATTCTGTTTACCAAAGTAGTTATACAGGAGATATAGAACAAGGGCAAGTTAATCTAAAAGAGTTACCCAAATGTTTACTTCACTCTAGTTCATCAACACCAACCTAATGTTCGACACAAAACTAAACACCACAAACACTTCTGCATACATAGCTAACAGGCATGTCAATCCTTGGTTAAACACCCTCAACACCCTCTTCCTGACGGATTGAAGAGGTGATATCTGAGTATGTTTATATACTCTCATTACTGTAGTCTTTAGTTTTTTCAACAACCCTTAAATGGTGTTTTGCACACTGTTTCACTCTGGGGGTAGAGACATTTATAATTGATGGAAAATACAACTTTCTTAACAAGCTCAGAGGGGTTTACATGAAAATACCTAAACATTGTAACTGAATGTGAAAGAAAAAATATCTTTATGATGTTGTGTATTTGGAGCAGAGAGCATCAATCTTCTCAAACGAACTGACGGAAACACAAAAACCAAAGTAAACAAATTTCCAACAAATCAATGGTACAAAAAAAGAACAACATCGTTAGACTATATTGCACAAAATAATAAAACATTTCATCACTTAATAGCTAGCTGGTCACCCACAAACATGAGTCGTTCCTGTCACAACTTCCTCCGAAGCTGCCTCCTCTCCTTGTTCGGGCAGGCTTCGGCGTTCATCGTCACCGGCCTTCTAGCCACTGTCACATCACATCTCATCATTCCATTTGTTTTGTCTTGTCTATTACACACACCTGGTTCATATCCCCTCATTAGTACGTGTATAAGTGTTCCCTCTGCCCCCTTGTCCTTGTGGGTGATTGTTTATTGTGAGGAGAGAGTAGCTTGGTTGAGCTACGTGTATTTTGTATTGCTGGGGTATATTTTCCTCGTGTGCCTGTTTTGTTCCAGTGCGCCTGTTTTGCGCACTGGACTGTTTGACGCTATCCTGCGTAACTCTGTATTCTGTGATTTACCCTCCTGCGCCTGACTCCTTCAAATCACCCATCACAGTTCCTTTCTTTTCTCTCTGGCTTTGTCTAATTGGATGATGAGCAACTGTTTCATGAGTGCCATCCTGTTGTTCCTGACATGGCCTATACTCCCTGTTGTGCCATTGCAGTGCTGGCCTTGCTATGTGACTCCTAGGAGACAAAGACTGAGGAGACTTGCAAGAATAGATAATCATGTTGCCATTGTGACCTGGTCTGGCACAGAGCAGAGATAAAAGGACTGCAGCTCTGGCTGTGTCTTGTGGCTATGGGTGTTGGTGTGTGTGTGTGTGTGTGTGCATGCGTGTTAGTGTGTATGTGTCATTGAAAGCGAGAGAAAGAAGGAGAGGGAGAGTGGGTGTGTTAGAGAACGTGCCTTTGCCCATGTGTGTATCTTAAGTGCTATAAAACCACTCTTTTCATATGCAGCACATACTAATGGCTAACCTTACAGGTGCAGAGTTGCTACAACCTGGCAGACGAAGGCAGCTGGTGTTCTCTCATTAGCCTTCTCAGTCTGCACCGCCGTCAGCAGGCCATTACCTTTGAACTTCCCTTGTTAAAATGCCAGACTGACGTCAATTCATATCTCCGTGTGGTGTACAGGTTCAAATTGGTCGCCCACCTTTTGGAGTGCCTTCATTAGGGAAGTCTCACTAATTAGCTGCCACTCATCCAATTCATCCCACCGTTTCTGTTTCTGTAGGCATGGATCAAAACCAGGTGACACCTGCTATCTTTTCACATTGACAGAAGAAATGTTATAACTATTCAACAGGTTAGTTGGACGTAGTATTCTGTGTGTCATCGATTGATTGACAAAAAAACAACTTTTTGTTTTTAATTTTTTTAAATTTAGGATTGATGAGTCTCAACTTCAGTAATATGACTTGAAATACAGTTGCCGCCAAATAGAGTGAGCTCCAAAGTATTGGGACAGTGATTTTTTTGTTGTTGTTTTGGCTCTGTACTCCAGCACTTTGAAATGATACAATGACTATTAGGTTAAAGTGCAGACTGTCAGCTATAATTTGAATGTGCTTCATCAATATCGTGTGAACCGTTTAGAAATTACAGCACTTTTTGTACATAGTCCCCTCATTTTAGGGGACCAAAAGTATTGGGACAAATTCACTTACAGTGGGGAAAAAAAGTATTTAGTCAGTCACCAATTGTGCAAGTTCTCCCACTTAAAAAGATGAGAGAGGTCTGTAATGTTCATCATAGGTACACGTCAACTATGACAGACAAATTGAGATTTTTTTTCTCCAGAAAATCACATTGTAGGATTTGTAATGAATTTATTTGCAAATTTTGGTGGAAAATAAGTATTTGGTCACCTACAAACAAGCAAGATTTCTGGCTCTCACAGACCTGTAACTTCTTCTTTAAGAGGCTCCTCTGTCCTCCACTCGTTACCTATATTAATGGCACCTGTTTGAACTTGTTATCAGTATAAAAGACACCTGTCCACAACCTCAAACAGTCACACTCCAAACTCCACTATGGCCAAGACCAAAGAGCTGTCAAAGGACACCAGAAAAACATTTGTAGACCTGCACCAGGCTGGGAAGACTGAATCTGCAATAGGTAAGCAGCTTGGTTTGAATAAATCAATTGTTGGAGCAATTATTAGGAAATGGAAGACATACAAGACCACTGATAATCTCCCTCGATCTGGGGCTCCACGCAAGATCTCACCCCGTGGGGTCAAAATGATCACAAGAACGGTGAGCAAAAATCCCAGAACCACATGGGGGGACCTAGTGAATGACCTGGAGAGAGCTGGGACCAAAGTAACAAAGCCTACCATCAGTACCACACTACGCCGCCAGGGACTCAAATTCTGCAGTGCCAGACGTGTCCCCCTGCTTAAGCCAGTACATGTCCAGGCACGTCTGAAGTTTGCTAGAGTGCATTTGGATGATCCAGAAGAGGATTGGGAGAATGTCATATGGTCAGATGAAACCAAAATATAACTTTTTGGTAAAAACTCAACTCGTCGTGTTTGGAGGACAAAGAATGCTGAGTTGCATCCAAAGAACACCATACCTACTGTGAAGCATGGGGGTGGAAACATCATGCTTTGGGGCTGTTTTTCTGCAAAGGGACCAGGACGACTGATCCGTGTAAAGGAAAGAATGAATGGGGCCATGTATCGTGAGATTTTGAGTGAAAACCTCCTTCCATCAGCAAGGGCATTGAAGATGAAACGTGGCTGGGTCTTTCAGCATGACAATGATCCCAAACACACCGCCCGGGCAACGAAGGAGTGGCTTCGTAAGAAGCATTTCAAGGTCCTGGAGTGGCCTAGCCAGTCTCCAGATCTCAATCTCATAGAAAATCTTTGGAGGGAGTTGAAAGTCTGTGTTGCCCAGTGACAGCCCCAAAACATCACTGCTCTAGAGGAGATCTGCATGGAGGAATGGGCCAAAATACCAGCAACAGTGTGTGAAAACCTTGTGAAGACTTACAGAAAACGTTTGACCTGTGTCATTGCCAACAAAGGGTATATAACAAAGTATTGAGAAACTTTTGTTATTGACCAAATACTTATTTTCCACCATAATTTGCAAATAAATTCATAAAAAATCCTACAATATGATTTTCTTGAAAAAAAAATCTCATTTTGTCTGTCATAGTTGACGTGTACCTATGATGAAAATTACAGGCCTCTCTCATCTTTTTAAGTGGGAGAACTTGCACAATTGGTGGCTGACTAAATACTTTTTTCCCCCACTGTATATGTGTATTAAAGTAGTCCAAAGTTTAGTATTTGATTACATCAAGCTGCATTTGGATGCATTTGCTGTTTGTTTTGGTTGTGTTTCAGATTATTTTATGCCCAATAGAAATGAATGGTCTTGTGTCATTTTGTAAGTTTTATTGCAAATAAGAATATGTTTCTAAACACTTCTACATTAATGTGGATGCTACCATGATTACAGATAGTCCTGAATGAATCGTGAATAATGATGAGTGAGAAAGTTACAGACGTACAAATATCATACCCCCAAGACATGCTAACCTCTCACCATTACAATAGCATTTCTTGGGGGGTATGATATTTATGCCTCTGTAATTTATTCAAGATTCATTCAGGATTATCCGTAATCATGGTAGCATCCACATTAATGTAGAAGTGTTTAAAAACATATTATATTGCTTTTAATATTTATATATTGCTCCAAAATGACACAATACATTAATTACCATTCATTTCTATTGGGCACAAAAAATTCTGAAACATAACCAAAACAAGTTCAGCAAATGCATCCAACAAATGTTTAGAGTCACAAGCTTGGCACTCTTGCACCTTTCTTGATTAATTCCCAATTCATTTTTTTAATAAGTAAAAACAAAAAAACAAAAAAAGTTTGTTCTCCACATCTTATTATTGGATTGTCAACATTGCAGAACCCATTATATTTGTGTAAACTTTAGTTTAATTTGTATTGAGAAAATAAAAACAAAATGGCATGGACACAATTATTGGCACCCCAGAATTAGCACAGCCTTTGGCCAAGATAACTGCCAACAAATGCTTCTTAGAGCCACCAATGCACTTGCTGCACCTTTCTACTGGCAATTGTGCCCACTTTTCAGCAGCAAACTGCTCTAATTCTTCAATGTTTGAGGGGTACCCTCCACCAACTGCTGTTTTCAGCTCTCGACATTGGTTATGGATGTGATTCAGATCTATACTCTTCTCTGGCCACTCCAGAACAATAATTTTGTCCATGCAATTGGTTCTGCAATTGGTTCTGCAATGTTAAAAATATAATAACAAGGTGTGGGGACCAAACACTTTTTTTTTCCAATTCGAAACTTATTTTAATTACATAGGCTAGAGTGTAGCCATAGTGTCTTAGTAATAGCAGACGAAAACAAGTTGCTGAGAAAATGATGTGATTTACAGTTAGAAGGTTGTGGTTAGTGAAAGGAAATGACAGACCAGAGGCTGAACTAGAGCCACAGAGAGGGTTTGTTTACCTGGAAATCAAAGACATGTATTTACACCTGTCTGGTACAGCTTATTTATTAAGTACATTTCCTATCACAAAGCATACATTGTATTTTCTTTCATTTAATAGTAAAGATGTGTCAGGTATTTACTAAAGGATATATTTGTCACGCCCTGGCTTTGGGGACTCTTATATGTTGAGCCAGGGTGTTAGTTTCTAGTTCATGTGTTTCTATGTTGGCCGGGGTGGTTCCCAATCAGAGGCAGCTGTGGCTTGTTGTCTCTGATTGGGAACCATACTTAGGCAGCCTGTTTTGCACTTGTCATTTGTGGGATCTTGTTCCGGAGAGGTTTGTGTTTGTTAACCTTAGGACTTCACGTATCGTTTTGTTGTTTTGTAAATTGTTGTTTAAAGTACTCATTAAAAGATGTACGCACATCACGCTGCGCCTTGGTCCGTTGCTTACGACGATCGTGACAATATTAGGTAATGGATTTGCTTTCCTGTGTATCATGTAAGCTCATGAAATAATTATTGGATATACATAGTTCCTCACGATGTCCTCAAATTCACCTATACCAGCAATTTCAATATTGACATAAAAATGTTTCCTCAATCTGACTTGCAACTCAAAGAAATCCCTGGTGTAAAATGCTGTCCAAATGAACATAATTATATTCTGGAAAATAAATACTCTTGGCATGAGTACAGCAAAGCCATGGGACTATTCCAAGGCCCATTTATAAAAACAAAATGGACATATCACATTTACTTAATTATTCAGACCCTTTACTCAACTTTGTTGAAGCACCTTTGCCAGCGATTACAGCTTCAAGTCTTCTTGGGTATGATGCTACAAGCTTGGCACACCCGTATTTGGGGAGTTTCTCCCATTCTTCTTTGCAGATCCTCTCAAGCTCTGTCAGGATGGATGGGGAGCGTCGCTGCACAGCTATTTTCAGGTCTCTCCAGAGATATTCGATCGGGTTCAAGTCCGGGCTCTGGCTGGGCCACTCAAGGACATTCAGAGACTTGTCCTGAAGCCACTCCTGCGTTGTCTTGGCTGTGTGCTTAGGGTCATTGTCCTGTTGGAAGGTGAACCTGTGCCCCAGTCTGAGGTCCTGAGCGCTCTAGAGCAGATATTCATCAAGGATCTCTCTGTATTTAGCTCCGATCATCTTTGCCTTGATCCTGACTAGTCTTCCAGTCCCTGCCACTGAAAATCATCCCCACAGCATGATGCTGCCACCACCATACTTCACTGTAGGGATGGTCCCAGGTTTTCTCCAGACGTGACGCTTGGCATTCAGGCCAAAGAGTTCCATTTTGGTTTCATCAGACCAGAGAATCTTGTTTCTCATGGTCTGAGAGTCCTTTAGGTGCCTTTTGGCAAACTCCAAGTGGGCTGTCATGTGCCTTTTACTGAGGAGTGGCTTCCGTCTGGCCACTCTACCATAAAGGACTGATTGTTGTTGCAGAGATGGTTGTCCTTCTGGAAGGTTCTCCCACAGAGGAACTCTGGAGCTCTGTCAGGGTGACATCGGGTTCTTGGTCACCTCCCTGACCAAGGCCCTTCTCCCCCTGATTGCTCAGTTTGGCCAGGCGGCTAGCTTTAGGAAGAGTCTTGGTGGTTCCAAACTTCTTCCATTTAAGAATGATGAAGGCCACTTCAATGCTGCAGACATTTTTTGGTACCCTTCCCCAGATCTGTGCCTCGACACAATCATGTCTCGGAGCTCTACGGACAATTCCTTCGACCTCATGGCTTGGTTTTTGCTCTGACATGCACTGTCAACTGTGGGACTTTATATAGACAGGTGTTTGCCTTTTCAAATCATCTCCAATCAATTGAATTTACCACAGGTGGACTCCAATCAAGTTGACAAAACATCTCAAGGATGGTCAATGGAAACAGGATGCACCTGAGCTCAATTTTGAGTCTCATAGCAAAGGGTCTGAATACTTATGTAAATAAGGTATTTCTGTTTTAAATTTTTTGTACAATTGCATAAATGTCTAAAAACCTGTTTTCGCTTCGTCATTATGGGGTATTGTGTGTAGACTGATGAGGAATTTGTTTCATTTGATCAATTTTAATGTTACAAAATGTGGAAAAAGTCAAGGGGTCTGAATACTTTCTGAATGCACTGTACATCCCAATTATTGTTCAGTCCCTAGCAATCATTGAAAACAATTTCAAAGCATGTCTCCCAGGATTAATACACTACACCAGCATTTCTACACCATCCCACATTCCCATAGTGGAGTGAAAACAATGTATTTTTAAAGACGAAGAAGATAATAAATAATAGAAGACAGGCTGCAGTAGTATACTGGACACGCTGTTTGTACTTGTAACTCCAACTACTATTCATTATACACCATGAGAGAGAAACTTCTTCAGAAAAAATGGCAGGAAAGTTGTGTTGTATCCATTTTCTCTCCTCATTCTTTTTCAGTGCTTCCAATTTAAGATTTCTGTCACGCTATTTGACATAACTGGGGCGAGCACAATGGGTTGTATGTGCACACCAACATCATGAGGTACAAACAGGCAATTTTTGGTAGATGTTATCTCAATTATGCACACACGCTAGCCAAGCACTAGCTATAAATTCATAGTAGAGGGTGAATAGGATGCACGTGGAGTGAGCCAGAAGTGTGTAGTGTACATCCACACAGTTCATCCCAGACTATTGTCAGACTTAACAAAATGTTTCCTTCACAAGGATATGAAACAATGAGATAAAAAGTGAGTTACAGAGTCTGAATTCTCCTAATCGTTTTCCCACAAAGCATGGTACCTCTGGGCAGAGCAAAACGAAGACAGAGATGTTTAGCCATCTGCTCTCTCTCACACCCAGAGGACACTAACTCATGTACAAGAGCGGGACCCAATGTCTTATTTTATGAGGTTTACCCTTGCAGCTCTGACCTACTCTGAGTTACAGCTCAATACACAGCTACTCACTCACCCTAGTGTGCCAAGTGAAAAGAAAAGTCAGAACTTAGATGGTTACGTTGAAGTCAATGTGACCAACTGGGTTCAAACCTGGTTCTCCAGCATGCCCGTATTAGCCCATTGAGCTATAGCCAAGGCAATACCTCAGCGAATAGCACATCAGTGAAGTCTTCACAAGTCTTCACAAACGAAACAGTAAATCTACAGTATGATGCAACTCACCCCCACCCCGTCCTCCTGTCGGTACTGCTTCCAGGCTAGGCCGGTGTCACTGAACAGCAGCAGGTAGCCGCTGACCCAGTCTGAGCTGCCGTAGCGACCCTGTGTGGCAATAGCCGTCACCTCCATCCTGTCCCTGAGGTCCAGCTGCATCCACGGCTGGCTGTCTGTCACCTGGGGAGACCAGCCTCCCGCTCCTTGGGAGACCAGAGAGAGAAAATATATATTTTTTGCATTCTGTCGATGCACAGTTTGGATCGAATTGTGGTCTGTGTTTTATCTAGTAACCCTTAACCTGTGGGCGTTACCTGCCTGCAATTGATGCTGAATTCTTGCATTGCTGTCTGCATAGGGAGTATCCTGTGTATGCTAAGCTCTTCTGTATACTGTATGTGAGGTTTTTTGAATGATGTGGAATATTAACTAACCCCCTCTATCACGTTGTCTAATAACCTTGAATCATTTGAGAGCTGTGTTATCTAACAAACATTGTGCTGTCTTTAGTTTGGCTAGCAGGCAAAAGCAATAATGGCCCTTGTAGGCTAAATACTGCTACCAAAATGTATTATATTAAATGAGAAAACCACTGTACATGGTTAAAACCTATTTCATCATTTCGGGGTTCATCTGGATCAGTCAAGGACCAATAACGTGTTGCTTTATCTTATGCAAGGATGAACACCGAACACAAAAATAGTTCTGTGTTCTGTGCACCAGCGTGCAACAAAAGTAACCAAGGTGAAAAATAGCAACATATTACCCAAGATGTGCTATGATTTCGATGCTAAAATAGTAACTTTTGTTTTAACTATAACAAATGAATGTGCAACTTTTACAAGTTTCATATTCATAACATTATCTATGTAATGTTGTTGAAATGTTGCAGTTTTGTTTCCTGGGTCACAGAATTAAAAAAAATTGGTGGGTGGCCCTTGGACTAATATGATAAATACACTGGTGAATAATAACCTCAGTATCTACAGCCAAACATTAATGTGAAAGTGTGATATGGCGGTGCTGTGCACAATTAGTAGAATCAGACCCCACAAGCCGCCCAGTTATCATGGCCACAGCACAATGGGAGCAGATGAGTTCTGAATATTAAACCAGAGTCTCAGCCACAGTGGAAGCATCATTTACACATCACCCCCCCGGGAGCAGATTAATTCTGGTCGTTACAGACTCATACACTACAACAGAGGTAAAACATGACCTGGGCTCGGTCGGGTTAGGCTGGGTCATCACCTTAACATCCTATGTCATTGAGAATCACTATCTAGTTACAGACAGTAGACTCATTTATAGATCAATTTATTGATCTGTGGTCTTTGTTGTTAGGGCTAAGAGCAACATTTTAAATCGGCTAAATGGTGCTGACATATAAACTCAGCAAAAAAAGAAACATCCCTTTTTCAGGACCCTGTCTTTCAAAGATAATTCGTAAAAATCCAAATAACTTTACAGATCTTCATTGTAAAGGGTTTAAACACTGTTTCCCATGCTTGTTCAATGAACCATAAACAATTAATGAACATGCACCTGTGGAACGGTCGTTAAGACACTAACAGCTTACAGACGGTAGGCAATTAAGGTTAGTTATGAAAACTTAGGACACTAAAGAGGCCTTTTACCAAAAGAAAGATGCCGAGGGTCCCTGCTCATCTGCGTGAATGTGCCTTAGGCATGCTGCAAGGAGGCATGAGGACTGTAGATGTGGCCAGGTCAATAATTGCAATGTACGTACTGTGAGACGCCTAAGACAGCGCTACAGGACGGACAGCTGAGCATTTATTTTACATTTACATTTTAGTCATTTAACAGACACTCTTATCCAGAGCGACTTACAGTTAGTGAATACATATATATTTTTTTTATACTGGCCCCCCGTGGGAATCGAACCCACAACCCTGGTGTTGCAAACGCCATGCTCTATCAACTGAGCTACATCCCTGCCGGCCATTCCCTCCCCTGGACAACGCAGGGCCAATTGTGCGCCGCCCATGAGTCTCCCGGTCGCGGCCAGCTGCAACAGAGCCTGGATTCGAACCAGGATCTCTAGTGGCACAGTTAGCACTGCGATGCAGTGCCTTACTTTTTTGATTTTATGTCTCAGTTGTTGAATCTTATCATGTTCATACAAATATTTACACATGTTAAGTTTGCTGAAAATAAACGCAGTTGACAGTGAGAAGACGTTTCTTTTTTTGCTGAGTTTACAAAGATGACTTTATCCGGGACTTATATTGAAGATGCTCATGAGGTGAATCTTAATGCAATAATAAGCATAATGCTATTTCAAACTAATTATTATCTCCTAATATAAGAGCTGTTTAGCAAACTAAAACACTTGCCTTTTACCTTAGATAAAGCATTATTGATTGTCTCTAGGTACTGTTCAGAAATATTAAATAATAAAAGATAACTTTCCATTGTAACTCACCATCTCTTCTGTTGATCTTGGCAAAGTGTGGAGCGTTACTAAGAGAGCACTGCGAGGAGCTCTCAAAGGAAACCTGGGGTAGCATGGATACCAATGGGCCATTACAAATATCTGTAAGAGTAAAAAAGAGAGTATGTTATATGAAGTTTATGGTTGGGTACAATATATAGAGCTTTAGGACCATCATTATCTACTAGAGCAGGGGTGTCAAACATACATAATAATAAAAAATAATAATAATACTAATAATATATATATATATATATATATATATATATATATATATATATATATAATATATATAATTATTATACAGTACCAGTCAAAAGTTTACTCATTCATCTACTCATTCAAGGGTTTTTCTAAATTGTTTACTATTTTCTACATTGTACGGAGAACAACCATCGTGTAGGCCAAACCGTTTGGACGCTACAGACGTTTTTGGGAGAACGATTTTTGGGATGTCTCATGGTCTGACACCTGTCCACAGAAGCAATCAATCAGATTCCAAACTCTCCACCATGACCAAGACCAAAGAGCTCTCCAAGGATGTCAAGGACAAGATTGTAGACCTACACAAGGCTGGAATGGGCTACAAGACCATTGCCAAGCAGCTTGGTGATAAGGTGGCAACAGCTGGTGCGATTATTCGCAAATGGAAGAAACACAAAAGAACTGTCAATCTCCCTCGGCCTGGGGCTCCATGCAAGATCTCACCTCGTGGAGTTGCAATGATCATGAGAACGGTGAGGAATCAGCCCAGAACTACACGGGAGGATCTTGTCAATTATCTCAAGGCAGCTGGGACCATAGTCACCAAGAAAACAATTAGTAACACACTAAGCCGTGAAGGACTGAAATCCTGCAGTGCCTGCAAGGTCCCCATGCTCAAGAAAGCACATATACAGGCCCGTCTGAAGTTTGCCAATGAACATCTGAATGATTCAGAGGAGAACTGGGTGAAAGTGTTGTGGTCAGATGAGACCAAAATCGAGCTCTTTGGCATCAACTCAACTCACTGTGTTTGGAGGAGGAGGAATGCTGCCTATGACCCCAAGAACACCATCCCCACCGTCAAACATGGAGGTGGAAACATTATGCTTTGGGGGTGTTTATCTGCTAAGGGGACAGGACAACTTCACCGCATCAAAGGGATGATGGACGGGGCCATGTATCATCAAATCTTGGGTGAGAACCTCCTTGTCACGCCCTGACTCAGGGGACTCTTATATGTTGGATCAGGGTGTGAATATTCTATGTTCTGTTTTCTATGTTTCAGTCTAGGTGTTGTATGTCTATGTTTGGCCGGGTGTGATTCCCAATCAGAGACAGCTGTCGCTCATTGTCTCTGATTGGGGATCATACTTAGGCAGCCTGTTGGCATGCATTAGTTGTGGGATCTTGTTCCATGTATAGGTTTGTTGTGTGTTCAACCTTAGGACTTCACGTTTCGTTTGTTTATTGTTTTGTCGTGTGTTTATCAGTTTAATAAACATGTACGCATTTCACGCTGCGCCTTGGTCTGACCCGTCCTTAAACGAACGTGACACTCCTTCCCTCAGCCAGGGCATTGAAAATGGGTCATGGATGGGTATTCCAGCATGACAATGACCCAAAACACATGGCCAAGGCAACAAAGGAGTGGCTCAAGAAGAAGCACATTAAGGTCCTAGAGTGGCCAAACCAGTCTCCAGACCTTAATTCCATAGAAAATATGTGGAGGGAGCTGAAGGTTCGAGTTGCCAAACGTCAGCCTCGAAACCTTAATGACTTGGAGAAAATCTGCAAAGAGGAGTGGGACAAAATCCCTCCTGAGATGTGTGCAAACCTGGTGGCCAACTACAAGAAACGTCTGACCTCTGTTATTGTCACCAAGGGTTTTGCCACCAAGTACTAAGTCATGTTTTGCAGAGGGGTCAAATACTCATTTCCCTCATTAAAATGCAAAGCTTCACCTGGAATGCTTGTCCAACAGGAGTTCCCACATACAGTGGCTTGCGAAAGTATTCACCCCCTTTGGCATTTTTCCTATTTTGTTGCCTTACAACCTGGAATTAACATGTATATTTTGGGGGGTTGTATCATTTGATTTACACAACATGCCTACCATATTTGAAGATGCAAAATATTTTTTTTTTGTGAAACAAACAAGGAATAAGACAAACAAACTGAAAACTTGAGCGTGCATAACTATTCACACCCCGAAAGTCAATACTTTGTAGAGCCACCTTTTGCAGCAATTACAGCTGCAAGTCTCTTGGGGTATGTCTATATAAGCTTGGCACATCTAGCCACAGGGATTTCTGCCCATTCTTCAAGGCAAAACTGCTCCAGCTCCTTCAAGTTCGATGGGTTCCGCTGGTGTACAGCAATCTTTAAGTCATACCACAGATTCTCAATTGGATTGAGGTCTGGGCTTTGAATAAGTCATTCCAAGACAATTAAATGTTTCCCCTTAAACCACTCAACTGTTGCTTTAGCAGTATGCTTAGGGTCATTGTCCTGCTGGAAGGTGAACATCCATCCCAGTCTCAAATCTCTGGAAGACTGAAACAGGTTTCCCTCAAGAATTTCCCTATATTTAACGCCATCCATCATTCCTTCAATTCTAACCAATTTCCCAGTCCCTGCCGATGAAAAACATCCACACAGCATGATGCTGCCACCACCATGCTTCACTGTGGGGATGGTGTTCTCGGGGTGATGAGAGGTGTTGGGTTTGCGCCAGACATAGCATTTTCCTTGATGGCCAAAAAG